GTTCAAGCTACTGTTGAGCCTTGATTTTTACTACCTGCAGCCCAATGCACACCCTCATAAAATCAACTTCTAGTCAGTGTGAAGCATGATCTTCAGAAGTCAACCGGGCATATTTGAGGTCAGATTTCCATACCATAGGCATGAAGTAGCTGTCACCAGGGAAGATGCATTTCACCAACTGCTGGAAGGGTGAGCAAAAGATGGGAGGCAAGGAGCGTAAAGGCAGTAATTACTTGTGCAGATAAAGTTTGAAAATGAGTGGAAGGAACAAAGAGGCTTCAAGTTCATCATTTGACACTCTAAAGGGGGATTCTATAAAATGGGTTTCTTGCTCAAAAATCTCACTTCAAAAGTTACCAAAACCTGCTTCATGCATCCAACTACTTTGATTACCCTTATTCACCCCCCTTTTGAAGGCTCAGTGTGTGATGTGTGTCTTGCCCACCGGCTCCACCCTAAAGGATGCACCATTCCAGGGGATATGAACTTATTGTGGCTCCAAGCTTGATCCTTGGTCACTGGAGCCGGGTAGTGCACGCTGCAAATAAGGTGCCCAGGGATTCTGAAAGCCAGGTTAGAATAAGGTTCTCATCTGGAACTGGATTCTGGAAAATGTCAAGAAGTGCACACACTCTCTTATCTCCCCTTTCACTTGCTTTCATTCTCTAATACTTAAGGAAATTAAAAATAACCTATTGGTATAGAGCACATTGGCACATCAAAGTCCCCAAAGGAAAATATTTGAATTTCTTCCATCTATTTCCCTCTCCTGCTCTTTATGCTTCTCAATGAGAAGAAAGGTAGAGCTTACATTTTATGTCAACACAAAAGGCCTCCGTTTGTGTGCATTACTTATTAAAGTATTCAGTGATTCAATGTCAAGGTATGTATTATACATACTTTTTTTTCTAGGCCATTATCAGCTTTCTTACAACACTATTATTCTTCAGCCCAGTTAATGCTTCTGTCAAAGATTTAGCAACAAGCATGGAAAATGTCAAACAGTGGGGAAGAAACCTAGCTGTTTCCACAACTGCACAAAAAGCCTGAGTTGTCTTTTCTGGGAAAGCAGCATAATTCCACGATGAACACCAGCGGATGTTTTATCAGGGGACAGAATAGTGGGATGGTTTATTTGTTTTTCTCTGCACACCTGAGTCCATCTCCTCTGAATAAGTTTCCTTTCTTCTCTTGCCAATATACTTAATAAAATAGGGCCCGTGTTGTTATCATTTCACCCTCTCCCCAGGAGGTATCTGGCTTAGAACGTGACAGAAATCAGCCGAGAGAGTCAGCCCTGCTCTGTCTGCAGAGCAGTGTGATAAGATTTAAGGAGCACTAAAAGGCTCCTCTGGAGAAAAATATTTTCCCAACCTGCTTACCAGGGTGCCTAAAATTATAACCCTTCTGCTTTAAGGCATTGAGAGGCTCCATTAAAATGCAAATACGTTAGGTGAGTTATTTTATCAAACTATCACATCTTAGCCTGAATTAGTTTATGGCTTAATTCAGAATACTGAAGTGATGGGACATAGGGTTGTTAAGTTTGGATGTCAGCAAAGACGGGATAGGGTTTAAAAGGTTGTACTAATGAACAGACAGGGGTAGTAGTGCCAGGTGGGGGAATAAAACAGTCTGATGGCACCAAAAGTAAGACTCAGTGAAAATACCCACATGCAGGTGTTTCAACACCCCTACCTGAGCAACAGGCTGGTCCATGTTGTTGAGAAGTTGTCACCTTCACAGTTCACAGATGAACTTAGAGAAGAGTGATGTGTTTACATCTTTTTCCTCCCCAGTCTCCCACCTCCCCTCACGCCTGCACTTGAATTGGAGTCCTCTGTTAGACTCACTTTTCATGCTCAGCACTCTTACCTGCTCTCTCCCAGGAGTTTCAGGGGATGCATGGAACCTATGCACTACAATTATTCTCCAATATTTCCACTTCCCTTCCCCTCCGACCCGCTTGAAGTCAATCAAGACCATAGGATTCGGTCAAGGGAATGTAAGCAGAACTGGCATGTGTCACTCCTGGGTTGAACTGTTTTAGAGCAGGCTCTGATTTCTCCATACTCCCTTCTACCAGGGTGAACTCTGAAGCATGATAAACTTGAATAAAGATGCTCACGGGCTGGTTTTACCTTAAAAAGTTAAAAATAGAATACTGTATAACCCGGAAATCCCAGTCTTTGGGCATATATCCACAGAAAATGAAATCATCAACGGTATATAAAATCACACCTGTCCTAATTCTTCACATAGGTGCCCTAGCTCTTCTCTCCAGCTATACCAGTTTTCAGTGAGCCGATCACCTTCTTCTCATACAATGTCATGGAGAGAGCACAGAGCTATCGATGCAGTGCAGGCATGCTAAGTACTTGGGTACTGGAAAAGGACCTTTCTTCTGGACAACTCCACAAGTCTGCTGTGTTAGAGAACCAAATGGAAGCTGGAAAATGCTTCAGAACTGGAGGCTTATATATATATGTATAGATCTCCAGGATCCTAGTAAATTGAATCAATGATGATCTCTTCTCCCAAATTTTTTCTGCCCCCTGCATCCCTTTCTCCTGCATCCCACCTCCTGCATCCCACCTCCTGCATCTCCCCCATCAGAGCTGGTCAGCTTGGGTTAACCCATAACCCTTCTTCTCCACACCCTGCATGAACCTCCACACATCTGCTCAATTCCTAAGTCCTAAGATTTCCGTTTCTTCCTTCTTTTCTCCACTGTACCTGCACCAACTCTGGTCTCATTATTTCTCCTCTGGCCTATTCTAACTGTTCTTCCTTCTTCCATCTCCCTCTGTTTCCATCCATTCTGCTCATTGAGGCCACTGATAGTCTTGGAGATACAGACTGAACACATTACTCAAAACCATAAACTCCCAAAGCACCTCAAGCTTCTTCACACTGGGATCCACTTTTATCTCCTGCCCAGCTCTGATGGTGCCTCCCCTGTCAACTGAGAAGAATGAAGAAGACAGAAGAAATTTAAGAAAAGAGAACATCATTAATTCAAATTACAAGGATCCTGAGACAATTATGATGCCCATTAGGCAGCTGGAAATCCTGGTCTGAAATTGCTCAAAGAAATCAGAAGCAGGGCCTCCCCTGGTAGTGCAGCGGTTGAGCTCTGGGCTGTGAAGCTGCCCACAGCCTCTGCAGCACCGGTTCGATCCCCGGCCACTGGCGAGGGTCCCCCATGGCGCCAGACCTCTCCTGCCGCCCGCTGCTTCCCTCAGCAATGTGTTTCGTTGTCAGTCTGCCTGTTCTGTTCCCCGCTCTGGCTCTGGTGAATTCTCTCACCCTCCTGTGCTTCTGACTGTATCCAGTGCTTGTATAAATAAATAAAATAAATCTTTAAAAAAAAAAGTCAGAAGCAGAGAAGAATTACTGGTCACCCCTTCCAGGCCAGGTCAGAATCTAAGCTGCGGGGAAGGTGGTCAAAGGAGAGCGCACAGACTGCGGAGAGAGCCAGAACAGACCCTGGACTTATGTTTTCAAGGCAGACTCAGAAATCAAAACTGAGAAGGGAGACAGGATAAATGAGAAGAGGGCACAGATCTAAGACCCAGCAGGACCCAGTAAAGATTTCACAGCATCCAGGCTCCAGGCCTCTCATCACCACAACCCTCCCCACCTGTGCGCAGGGACAAGCTTCTGTGCTGTTCAGTCTGTTCTCAGGCCCATGGGCTGCCCTTCTGTTACCAGCCCCTCTCATGGGGACTAGACCCCTGCAAATTACATTCTCAGGCACCTTTGCCAACCGGCTTCTGGTTAATTTCTGCCAAGGAGAGGCACTGGCAGGAGGAGAGCAGTAAAAGCCAGATTATTCCTCTCCATTTCCATCTCCAACCCAACACCCCGCCCCATTTCTGCCTCCTATGGCTTCTCACCAGACTGTGTTCCTGGATTCTACCTGCTACCCCAGTCCATGAGTGTGGTCACATTCCCTCCTCCTTGTTGGTCTCTCCAGCTGTTTGTGGGTAGGGGGAGGAAGGAAGGTGAACAGCTTGGGCCTGTTGCTCGTGGCTGCCTTGACTCACCAACCCATTTGGCTTTTTAGCTCTTCCAACACCTCACAACTGGTCCCCATTTGAATCCCTCCTCTAATGAGCTGACTGGTGTGGGCTCTGTTGCCCTTATCTGTCCCTGTTCATAAACACATCATGAAAATATCTTAGTTTCTCTCCTACAATTTGTTTCAGTCTTCAGAATCCTATTCAGGCTGGGATTTTCCAAGCTGATATTAACAAAGCCTTCTAGTTAAAAGCCAAGGGGGAAGTAATCATAAAAGAGGTTGTAAATGAAGATAAAAGCTGAAATAAAAAAATTGTAAAACATAAAGCAGTAGTGATAAAGTAGTTCAAATGCTGGGTTTTTTGGGTTTTTTTTTTGATAAGACGACTAAAATAAACAAACCTCTGACAAACATAATTAAGGGAACATTTTTCATTAGAAGTGAGAAAGGAGATAGGGCAAAACACAGGAAATAGATTTTTTTCTCCAAATCCAAAGAGAATGTTATTTGCACTTGTAAGCTAATAAAAAGGAATCTTCAATTAAGTGTATAATTTCTAGAAAGACAGATTACTAAAAATAACTCAAGAAATGGGAATCTAAACAGAATAATAACCAAGAAGGAAATTATTCAAAAGCAACCTTAACAATGCAGATGGTTCCATGTTTCCAACAAAATGATTTCATACTTTTCAGATTCAGATGATTTCAATGTTGTATAAAACATGCAGTGTGCAAAGAGAGAAGTAACTTTATGTCCACAAATATATATGTTCTTCTTACCAAGGTCTGATAAAGATGAAACACAGAAAGAAAGTTACAGGGGCCTCCCTGGTGGCGCAAAGGGTTAAGTCTCAGCACTATCAAGCTATCAGCAGTTATTGCAGCATGAGTTCGATCCTCTTGTTTTATTATACTGCTTCAGATATTTAGAGGGAAGATAATTTCTTCTGCTTTGCTGCGATCCTTATACCATGAAAAACATGGAACACTTTACAAATTTACATGTCATTCTTGCACAGGAGCCAGGCTAATTTTCCCTACATTGGTTATATTGTATGCACTGTTAAAACAAGCACAAGGAATGATAACTTTTTAAGTCAAAAGGCATTTCAAAGAAGGACAGTTTGCACATTATAGATGTAAATAACCATTTGGCAAAACGAGTATAATGAAAATCAAAGGGAAGATATCAGGAGAAAACATTAACAATTAATATAGCAAAAGGCTCATTTCTATTTTATGTAAAGAGCTTACACACATTGATATAAAAAAATTAAGTCCCCAGCATATAAGCTGGCAAAGAAGTTGAGAAGATAGTTCATGCAAAAAGAGATAAATGTTCATGTGAGAAAATGATCAACCATGCTAGTAATCAAAGAACTACCCACTGAAATAATCTTGTAGCATCATATACCCACTGTAATACAGGAATTATAGAAATTACCCCATATTCCAACACTGTGGTTAACCTAGACCCCTCATAGATTTTTGATAGCCCTATAAGATGGTATTGTCTCTTGGCAAAACATATCAGGAACCATCTTAAAATTCCATAATCAACATTTATCTTGAAAATAAAAAATAAATAAATAAAGCTATATGTGACTGTCTGGGTCTCTTTTTACCTTTTTGGGTTTGAAATCTGTTTTATGTGATTTAAGTATAGCTGTTTCTGCCTTCTTTATTAGTCCATTTGCTTGTAGGATTGTTTTCCATCCTTTACTTTCAGTCTATTTTTATCTTTTGTAGTTAAGTGAGTTTCCTGGAGATAGCAAAAGTTTGGGTTTTGTTTCTTAATCCAGCCTGTGACTCTGTCTTTTTATTGAAGAGTTTTGTCCATTTACATTTAAAGTTTATATTGATATGTTAGAGTCTGTATTTGCCATTTTGTTTATCTTTTCTCTGGTTTTATTTATTCATTTTTTAAATATTTTTTTTGGTCTTGTTTTGTTCTTATTCGTCCCTCTGTTGGTTCTGACTCTATGACTCCTTGAAGTATTTTTTGGAGTGGGGGTTTAGTTGTGATGAAATTCCAGAGTTTCTGTTTGTCTGGGAAGGTCTTTATTCTTTCTTCATAGAGGAAGGAAAGCTTTGCAGGATAGAGTATTCTTGGTTGGTGTTTGTTGTCATGGAGAGGAAATGCAAATAGCCAACAAGCATATGAAAAAATGTTCAGCATCACATGTAATCAGGGAAATACAAATCAAAACTACAACGAGATACCATCTTACACCAGAGAGAATGGCACATACTAAAAAAATGAGCAATAACAAATGTTGGCAAGCATGTGGAGAAAAACCACTATGGAAAGCTGTGTGGAGGTTCCTCAGCCTACTAAAGATGGAGCTTCCATATTATCCACCAATTCCACTCCTAGGTATTTACCCAAAGGGCACAGAAACATTAATTCAAAAGGGCACCTGCACCCCTATGTTTATAGCAGCACTGTTTACAATAGCTAAGCTTTGGAAACAGCCCAAATGCCCAAAAAATAGATGACTGGATCAAGAAGATGTGGTATATATACACCATGGAATATTACTAAACAATCAAAAAAGATAAACTCATGCAATTTGCAGCAACATGCAATCATGGAAGGGATCATGGAAGGGATCATGCTCAGTGAAAAAAAGCCAGAAAGAAAAAGAAAAATACCAGATGGTCTCACTCATAGCAGGAATTTAGAAAATCTAAATAAGGGACCAGGAAAAAGACTAATTATAATAAAGAAAAATCAAAATCAACAAGCAACTATAAACCAGAGACAAACTATGGGGTGGGGGAAGGAGAGGAGGGATTAGGGTCAAAATAAGGGTAGTGGAACTGTGTGGGGAATATAACCAAAATGAAAATGCATACATTGTGCAAAAATGAAAAATGAAAATAAAATATATTAATAAAAAAGCTATATGTGATGTTCAATGCAATGTCAGTCTACCAACCAAAATAAATAAATAATCTACATTTAACAACAGAGGAATTTTTTAATTATGTTTATTGAAGTGACATTGATTCATAACATTGTATATGTTCCAGGGCTATAGGTTCACACCTCTTCAAATGTATGTATCACAACATGCCCATGACCAAAGCACCAGTAATCTTCTACCATAGACTATTGCACATCCTCCCTCTTTTAAATCACCCCCACTTCTGGAACTTCAGTTGTGCAGCCTGTTTTCAAGAATTTGTTTCTGTCAGTTCTTTCACTTTGTTTTTTATATTCCACATATGAGTGAAATCATCCAGTATTTGTCTTTCTCCTTCTGACTTGTTTTACTTAACATAATCTCCTCCAGTTCCATCTATGTTATTGCAAATGGCAAGAGTTAATTTTTTTATAGCTGAGTAGTATTCTGTTGTGTATGTCTACCACATCTCCTCAATCCACTTGTCAGTCATCAACAGGGGAATGATCAAGGAAGGGTTATAAATTGTTTTTGTTCTCAACCATGCCAGGAGATAAATAGGGATTACTAAGGTTCAGACTTACACAAAATAATACAATCAGTGGCTCTCAAATACCTGCTACCATACTTGATGCTTTTCTATATTAAGGGAGTGGATTTCCCCATCCATAAAACAGAAGTAATAAAGTAACTAAGGAGTGGTTATGAGGATTAACTGAAACTCTTAACTAGCTGTGAATCTCTTAGCACAAGGTGTGACACAGGTGTCATTCAACAATCATTAAGAACAATGATAACATAAACTTATTATCAATTCCATGTCATTACAGCAATGTAAACATGTCTCAAGTGGACAGAGTCCAGGAAAATAAGGAAAACTTAATGGCTGCTACATGAGCAATACAAGAGTATAAGTCACTTTCCTTTCTGGAATTATTTTGTTTTTAGTACAAGTAAGAAATCTGGAAGGAAACAAAATTAGATTATACAAAAATTTCCTTAAAAGAGTTGACATCTTTTTGGAAGCCTAATATTAAATCTAGGATGTCTGCATTTAGGACACTTGAAATAATAAGCAGCACATGCACCCTGAAGGTGCCACGTGGCACATTGAACCAGCCAGGGGATGGCGCTGCTTCACTTGCCCAAGGGACCAGGTAGACATTTATTGGCCTCCATATTATACTAGTACTAACCATTCAGTCCTCCTTAAAGATAAATTCTTTTCTTTTCCTTCATAAAACTGTAACTCAGAAGCATCTCAAGCTAATAAATTTCCACAGATAGTTAAGAAATGGATCCAAGTTCACTCTTGAACTTTCCAGAGAGCCATATTGCTGCATGTGCATCATCTTCAGGACCAAGGAGAGTGGTTACATTGTCCTTTGGTCATGTGGATAGAACCTACCATCAATGGATAGAAGGACATAGCCAATGTTAGACCCACGTACTAATTCTACAAATGGTGGACAATTCAAATAACCAGAGACAGGCTTCCAGGTAATGAGAGAAAGAGCTAGAGATACCACTACCTCTCCTAGATTTTCCCCTGAAAATTCAGCAAGGCCTGAAAATCTCTATCTACAACAGAAGTAAAGTGGAAAGTTACTCCACTCTCATTTGCTGCATTGTCAGAGGCTTTTGAAGAACAAATAAGAACAGGTGTAGCACAGGATAGAAATGTCGTCGATTCAGGCTGAGGTCTGGAGCTTGAATCACTAACAACTGCCTATATGAGTCAGAACAATGTGCTTAGTATATGAGCTCAAATAAAAGAAATGACAAGTTTAGCAAAGGATATAAACTCAGAAATATAAAGAGATGACACAAACCTAGCATGACCAGAGGCTGAGTCACACTGAGCTCAGACTCACCTGTCCAAACACTTATTCCACCTGAGATGGCAAATGAACATTTCAAATCTAACATATCAAACATAAAGCTCCTGGGTTGCGCTTCCACTTGCTCCATGGATAGTCTTTCCATCTCAGGTAACAGCGATACTATCATTCCAGGCCCTCAAATGGAATCTCTTTGACTACTCTCTTTCTCTTTGATCTCACATCCAACCCATCAGAAAATCCCACAGGCTCCATTTTCAAGATATATCCAAATTCTTCCTCTTCTCATCACCTCCACTAGCCCCATTCTAGCCCAAATGATCATCTCTTACCTATCTTTTTGTTATAGCCTCTTAGTTGACCTCCCTCCTTCCACACTTGCCCACCATTTATTCTAGTCTCAACTGGCAGTCAGATGGGTCTTCATAAAAACCAAAGAATTACACTTTAAAAAGAACAAATCTAAAAGAGTGAATAAATTGGACTTGATCAAAATTAAAATCTATTCTTCAAAAGATATTCTGGGGAGTACTGGGTACGTTTGTTACCTTGATGGCAGTAATGGTATCAGATATGTGTACCTAAATTTATACATAAATATGTAAAAATTATACAACTATAAAATTAATAATCTGATTTTAAAACAAGAAAATGACTTGAACAGACACTTCTCCAAAGAAGATTTACAAATGAACATAAGCACATAAAAAGAGGTCTAACATCACTAATTATTAGGAACTGCAAGTCTAAACTTGCATAAGATACCACATTGTACCTATTAGAACAACTACTACTTAAAAAAAAAAGAAGATAACAAGTGTCAGCGAGGATCTGGAGAAAATTGGAACTCATGCATTTTTGAATTTTGGAGGAATTGTACAATAACACAGTTGCTTTGAAAAATAGTATGGTGATAGGGAACTCCCCCTACAACCACCATCAAAATAGAATTATCTTTTAACCTGGAAGTTCTATTTTAGGGATTATACTCAAAAGAATTGGAAGCAGAGTCTCCAAGAGATAGCTGTATGCCCATTTATACCTTGAGATTTGTGAATAGCAGCTCTACTCACAATAGCCCAAAGGTAGAAGTAACCCATGTCAAATGACAGGTGAGTGAATAAACAAAAAATATAGTACATACAAGCAATGAAATATTATTCAGTCCTAAAAAGGCAAACAATTCTGACAAGTGCTACGACATGAAATAATTTTGAAGACATAATGCTAGGTGATATAGTCAATCACGGAAGAGAAAATGCTGAACAATTCCCATTTACACTGGGTCTCTCAAGTAGTCAAATGAATAGTCAGGAAGTAGAATAA